CAGGACCCCCTGATGCGGCACTCGCCTCTCCTGAACCAGAGCCAGCAGGGAGGGACAGAAGATCTCTCAAAGGTAAGGGACCAATGGCCTGGCTGCCAGCTGGGTGTGGGGTCTGGGTTTTGGGATCCCCTTGGCTTGTGTAGAGCTGCCTTTGAGCTGCTGCTGAATGCAGTGTAGATGGTGGTTCCCGATGCACTGAGCAGTGGTTGGTGGTGTTGGATAGTATTCCCTGAGATGGGGTGACCACTTAAGGAAAACAGAAGCATATTAGCTTTCCTCATAACTGTTACAGTCATAGGCCTTTTTTTTACTAGGCTATTAGATGCACCAGAACAATTTGGAAGCTCCTGTAGGCTGAATTAAGGATGGCCATGTCTGGCTTTTCTGGATACTCTGCCTTGATTTGATTTTTACTTGACATTTCTCATTTATCACATCTCTTTATTTAATATCAGTGTTTGAAGGGCTGGAATAGGTTTCTGGTGGTTCTTTAATATAATCTTCCCCAGGAAAGCCTCCCTAGTCCCAGTCTCATTTAACAAAGCAAATCATTTACTTACGATCGTCCCCTCTGCACATGGAATAAATGTTGCAAAGAGAAATCCCTTGCTTGTGTGCCTGTTTGGATTTACTTTCATGCTCTGTTGGGGTAAATTGAGTTTGATTTTACCTTGGGTTTGGACATGCTCCTGGTTGGCAGGAAAGTCGTGCTGGATAAATGTGCTGGGGACAGCTCTCTTGATGCCAGTGCTGAGGGTTAGTGCAGCTGCAGGCTGGGCTTGGGAACTGCCTGAGCCTGCAATGAAATGAAAGGGAAGTTGCATCCATACCCAGGATGATGGGGGTGGTTTTCTGTATCCCTGTGGGAGCTGACTGAAATAATATACAGGCGAGAAAGCTCTTCCTTGGAAATGCCAGGATATGTAGACATCTCTTATCCATAAGGAACTGGTGGGCTTTACCTGAGATCCCTCTGAGCTATCTTTAATGAGAAGGATATTTAACTTTGGAATAGTTCAGATGCCAAGGGAGGCCTGAAGGCTCTGAAGAGTATTGTGCCCTCGGGGGATGCTGGTTGAGTGGCTGATGGGAAAAATACACGGTTGCCCCCGAAACAAAAAATACCCCTCTCCAAAGATGTGAGGAAACCAGGATGACTTTTCTGTCTGCACATTATTCTCACCAGCAGTTCTGTTTTGCCTCTCACCAGAAAGCCACAGATCATCTAAGCTATTTGTTTCTAATAGGCAAGGCTGCTCTTGAGGCATTAGTTGGTGAGTTTAGGAGCTGCATTTTCTTCTTGGTTTATGACACATTTCCAAGAATTACACGCATTTTATGGGGCTTAAAACATTTGTTAATGAAAGAGGAAGAGAGAGAGAGCTGAGATACAATTCAGCAAGACAAGATTATACTTTTAGTGGAGCCATTTGTAATTTTAGAGTCTGAAAAGGAAGAAGAAAATGTGGTGTCTTTGACTGGTGAGAGCCTGACTGGAGCTGGGATTAGTTGCTCTAAACTAGCAGGAGCTGTTTCCAGAATGGGTTTGATGGAGCTCACTGCAAGACTGGATGATCTCAGTGCTGTTCCAGTGGTTGGGAGCAGAAGGCAAGTCTGGGGCACGCAGTATATCTGCCTTTGCAACTTGGGAAATTGGGTTAGTAGCAATCTTTTGGCATTAGTTGTTCTCAGAGTAGCGTATAAATTGGTGGACATTAAGGTCATGGACAAGCTCCTGTAGCTGATGTGTGCATCGCTGTGAGGCTCAGCATGGTTGAGGAGCTGTTCTGGGTGTGCTGGTCCAGGGGAAATGCAAAGAGCTGAGGCTGATCTTTGGCCACAGCTCTGGACACTTGCAGATCTGGGCTGCTGACACAGGTAAAACCACTTCTCGCACCTATGCTAAGCCAACAACTGCACAATTCGGCGCTGGGCTCTGACGGTGTAACCCACCACCTGGGACAGATGATAAAGACCTTCTCCAGAGGCTCTGTGCTGAGTGAGACATGTCCTGGAGTGGTGGCACACGTGTGTTGGCAGGATGCGTGTCCCAGAGCGGTGGCAAAAACATGGTGGCAGGACGTGTGTCCCAGCGACCAGAGCTGGAGAGAGGTGTTTGCTGTTCTCTCTGTCCTGCTGACTCAGTGCCTGATGAAGTCACTCAATACTTTATCTAGGGCAGCTTTGCCAAGGGGGTGAGCTCCTTGGGTGAAACGCACCATGTGAGCCCAGTATTGCTAAACACGCTGCTGGTTGTTTAGATGGAGTATCCTAGGAGTTGTTCCCTTACTCCTTACCCCATTCCACGCTGGTGCAGTCACTGCGCGGGGAGGAGCTCAGTTTACTCATCGGAGTAACAGTGCTAGGACGATTTTTCATGGTGATTTTACAGATTGAGCTAATTTTTACACAGTAAGAGCTCCACAAAGCCCTCAACAAAAAGGGTAGGGGTTTGGTTACACACTCTGGGCGCCAGCCTGACTGTCCCAGGGGATGTAACTGTAATGAATGTTGCTCCCGGGCAGTGGATACGTGTTGGTCTCTGCCGGTTTCAGAGCAGCGGTGGGGCTGAGATGCAGAATCGAGTCTGTGGTGAGGTATGAGTTTAGCATACCCCCGATAACCACTGATAACTGGATTTACCAACCTTCAGCCCAGGGTAGAGAAGTCAACGTCATTCCTGCACATTTCCAAGGCCTTTGACACATAGTCTGTGCTCCAAACACAGATAGAGAAATTGATGTGGTAAATGCTTGTAGCAGATTCCAGAGCTTTTTCGCTGAAGAGAAGTGGATCTCTCATGTCTTTTATTCCTCATCTACCTCTCCCAAACACGGGGTGAGCTGCACCCCTTAACCCTGCTCAGGATCACTGCAGCCTCACTCCAAGTAAGGCTTAGTCTGTAAGGAGAAGGTAATGTCTTCTCTTGGATCAGCACACTCTAGCTGGAGAAAGCAGACATACTTTTGGGCACCATGCCTTTCAAAAGCAGCAGCTTTCAGCTAAATCTCACTTGGTCCAGTAAAAGATATTACCTTTCCTTAAGAACCTCACATTACTCATATCCTCAAACACTGGTGTTTCTTTTCAAGCCAGGGAACAGAAGGTTGTTTTCTTGCCTGCTTTCCCCCACTTGAGCATCTTTTTCCCAGCAAGAGGGATTGCTGTCATGTTGCTGTAGTACTGTGGTCCTGGGATCCTGCTGCTGGATGTGGCCAGGAGGGCTCTGGTGAGCTCAGTCTGCTGGGGAGAAATGAAATCTCCCCATGCGCTCTGTGCCAGCCAGGGCTGACACTGCTCCTGGGAAGGTGCTCCCTTGAGCTGGCTGACATTAACCAGACACAGTTAAAGCAGAGCTGTTTTTTCAATCACTGCAAGCCTGGATGTGGGATTCATTGGAAAAGCTGCCGTTGATGTGGCTTTGCCAGGTGCGCTCTTGGCAGAGATGCGGGAGGTTGTTCCCAGGACCCTTGGTGGCTTCTGCTTTCTTTCTTTCCGATAAAGTCACGGACCTCCATCACGTAGCAGCAGCCAGGAGTAAAGCAGGCAGCCCCAGAGCAGGCCAGTGTTGCTGTGCACGATCCCTGTCCCTGCGCAGACGTGCGCAGCTGGTGCTGCCTGCGATCCTGCCCTGTGGGGACGGCGAGCGTGGCACGTCTGGTCGATCAGCGCCTGCTCTCCCCTCTCCAGAGCTGGAGCTTCATCCCTTTCCATCTCTTCATATTCCTGTTGTGCTTCCACTTGTTCTTCTCCCCATTTTTAGGACTGCTCTTCTACCACGTATGTGGTTTGCTGCTCCTTCCTATAGGATGTGAGTCAGTCGTGATCTGCATTTAGTCCCCTTTGCAAGGGCTGGCTGGCTGCACTTACGCGTAGCTTATTGCTCCGACAGGAATTCACTTACAGGAGCCATGTAATCCCACGGGTACAGGGCTGGGTGGAGGCTTAGGAAACCTGAACCTTGCTGCCATCTGCCCTGGCAGGCTGCTGGTCACCGGGTAAGTCTCTTCCCCTTTCTGTATCTCAGATTTCCCCATCTGTACAAGGGACAATGCCACTTCCCTCTTTTGTAAAATGATTAACAACTATGGATGGAAAAAGGCAATTAAGAAGCCATGTGTTGTTAGGACTTGGACTCTGCTTTACATTGTGGAAAGGTTTTAATTTCTTCCCTTTCTGCATGAGTGTTTTTGTTGTGTTCTGGACTGAAAAATGGAATAAGAAAAGGGAGAGGGGGGAATTTTGGAAAAGACAGCACCAAGGCCAGGAAATATGTATGGCAAAGCAGAAATTAGGGCAAAGGGTATTTTGTTTTGATGCATATTAATGTAGATTTAAAAGCAATTAATTGAAAAAGGAGGAATTAACACGTTTGAAATGCCTTTTTAATGATGCATTGAAGCCAGCAGCGTACATGCCAAATTTCACACTGGCTGCCTGTTCCAGAGCCCAATTTACAGTGAACTCCTGGAAGACAGGCTGTGGGATGGAAAGGCTCTTGGCTAGCCTGCTAACTCCTGGCCTCAGGCTGGCAGGGCACCGAGGACAGCCGAAAGGCCTTTTGGGAGCCCTGCTTCCTCCTCACTGCGCTGGCTGGGGCCTTGGCAGTGGTGGGCCCTGGTCGCTGCTCCATCCCTTGCCGAATGTTCTAGGAGAGAAGAGTGGGAGGCGGGGGTCTCCGGCAGCAGGGTTTGCCCTGGTACAGGGTAGAGGGGCAGTGCCACAGCTCCCAGCACAGATAGCTGGGCTGGCTGGTAAATCACCAGTCGCGTTTCTGCTCCGTGGCTTTGTTATGGGAACATTGATCTGTTGCTGGGATTAACCTCTCAGAGTTTCCAGTGGGTTGGTCTCGCAGTTATTAATGAAACTGGCTGGAACTTGTGTTGACCTTGGCAAAGGCCCCAGTTGGCTTGGAGGTAACTGGCAAAAGCATAATCTCTAATTGAGTAATCCAGGGCTGGGGGAGGGGAGCAGAGGGGGTGGACACGCAGCAGTGCTTTGAACTGGGAGAGCTCGGCGCTCCGACGGGATGCGTGGGAGTGGAGGGCTCAGAACGGCACTGAGCACAGCGGCCGCCGAGGGAATTAGCAAGCAAAAGCGAGGCGGCATCTCAGATCCGGCACCCCAGGCTTCCTCTTGTAGAAAACAGCCCAGAATTCCAGCACCTCCCCATGATTTATTGCTGTGGAACAATAGCGCAGAGGGGCTGGAGAATGGAACGAGCTGTGAGCATCGGCCGTCCCTGGACGCGTGTCCTCCTGTAGCCTCTGTGTTTGCAGTGTCGATCACGCTGGGCTCTCCCTTCCCCACTGGGGGTTGTTTTTCACTTGGGAAAAAGAGTTCTGGGCTTGTTTCTTGGGCTTTTGGTGATCGTCTGCAAGCAGGGACCCAGCAATAGCTGGGCTGTCTTCCGTGGCTGTGCACCTTTGCCATGGGAGAGGGAGGTGCTTACTTGGCCAACTGTGGCCATGCCCAAACCTTTTGGGGAAGGGGTGGCTGTCAGCAAGCCCTGCAGGACACCCAGGCAGAGGGATCCTGAGGAGCTGCAGTAGCACTGATGGACAGGGGACACACCCATGCTGCCAGCATCCTGTTGCTCCCTCCCAGTGAGACCTCTGCCAGTTTGTGGCTTGACCAACCCTGTGGAAGATGAAATGCCTCAAGCACGTTGCCATGAAAAGAACAATTCTTGCCCTGAGGACTGTGGGTTCTTCGATGCAAAGCCTGCACACGCTGCGTGGTTCCCAACTGCTTCTTGGAGGAGCAGACTTCAGTGGAAATGGCTCTAACCTCAGGTCTGAGCAATGAAATGAAACCATTTTAGTGGGTACAAACACACCTACGTCTTTCCTGCTTTTGTCCTCCTTCCCCTGCAGAGAATGGCAGTTCTTGTTAACTCTCTGTGCAACCATGGCTGGGAGGCAGCTGGGCTCTCCCTGAGAAGCTGAGCCAGTGGAGTTGACTGCCCATCAGGAGCGAGTGGAGTAGGGTTGTCAAGTCCAGGAGCTGTAGGAGGATCCTCCTCCAGCGTGTTCGACGTCCACCCATCTGCCGTGGGCTTGCTCTTGCTGTCGACTTGTGCCTGATAAAAATCTGGTTGCAAGAAATGGTTTGGTGGGGTGGGGAATTTACGTTAGGGCAGCAATGATTCAAAGCTATTTCTGGGAAGATGAGGGAGATGTTGGCATTCTCTGCCATTCCAAACATATTTAAAAGCTGAAATATTTGCATTGTTCACGTTGTCACAGTGCAAACACTTCTGGCTGGATTTCTCCCACCCCCTGCTTTCCTCCCTGCTCCAAAGATCATTTCCAAATTGTGTGAGGATGAGTGTGAGTGTATTGGCCCCTGCTCACCTGCATGTGAACACACACCTTTGGGAGTGTGTGCCTGCCATATGCAAGCAGAGTGGATCTCCTGCCATGCCCAGCAGTCCCTTCCATCGCCCGGTGTGCAGCGGCTGTGCCAGGGTGGCTGTGAGGAGTTGTCAGCAGCCTGTGCTGTGCACCAGCATGGGACGGGAAGCCAAGGAACAAACAGCCCAAGGAGTGTTGTATCTGGAATCTCTGTCCCGTGCACGGGCTCATGCTGGTTTCATTTGAAAAACAGATGCTTTTGGGCGTTGCACAGTCCTTGTGAGATGTTCGGCTCCTCCAGCCAGCCCTTTTTGCAGGACAACTAGTTTTATTCCATTTCTCACCTGAAGTTCCTATGGCCAAAGAACTGAAGTATGGCCTGAGAGACTTGGATATGTCAGGGAAAGCCCTCATGGGCTGCGGAAACATTTCAGAAGCAGCATGTAAAAACCCTTGACCCTTCCCCGAGCCACCTGCAACCTGGCTCTTCCCTGCCCTGGCTGCTCTAGCCTGTGGTAGTCCCTAAACTACAGACAGCAGGGCTGAGGCTCAGTGCAGCTGGAAAATGAACAGGAGAACTGACAGTGCCTCAAGCACAGGTTGTTTCGCACTTCTTCGGCTCATTTGTGGTGATCGACATCCAAAACAACCTTTTAAATTGCCTTTCAAGCCACAGCAGTGGTGAAGGGCGATGTGATAAGGCTGACTGCTTCTCGGGAGCCTGCTTCATCATTTACATAATTGGACTTTTCTCTTCCACTCTGTCAATATTACAAGGCTCGCGCAGTGCGACATCTCACCTGATCTGCTGGAGGGAAAGAAAGTCCCTTGACTTTGTGTGCCTCACCCCTGTAATTGGAAGAAATATTGCCAGCTCTTTCTGCTTGTAACAGGGCAGCCTGGTGAGCTGGGTGTGCTTTGTGGGTTCAGGGAGACTTTTCTTCTCCATCTCTGAAGTGTTTATACATGTTACGTGTATCTATTTTATCTTCCACAGCAAGGATTCTAATGTGCCCTGTTATGTCCTGGACATGCAGGAGAGAGCAGAGCTAGTTTGCTACTTTGTCAGTCCTCAAGTGGGATTTAAGAAATAGGGTTGGTATGGCAGGAACCGGTACTGGTCTCCTGTGCATTGCTCCAGAGCATGGGTAAGGTGCAGGGTGAGGAGGGCTGTGCCAGCCACCGCTGCTGTGTGTGCTCAACCCATATAGTACACTTGTATGAGAAAAGAACCCCTCACCTAGAATAAAGTTCCAGGGAAAAATTCAGTCCTGCTACTAACAGGGATGTCCTGGCTGTTTTCTTTTCCTGCTGCAATTTCAGCCTTATCCGGTTTTCTTCTCCTGATTTTCTGGGAGGAGGTGTGGGTGCTGCCAGACATCTTGCAGATGAAGATGAGCTCGGCTACCCTCCTTCTTCAGCAACTCTGCACACCCCTTCTCTCCAAGGGTCTTCCTGGGGAGGGCAGGAGGTTTGGTGGGAGCAGCTCAGGCATCTTCTCCATGAACATACAGTACTGAGCACATTTTTGGTGCTGTACTTTTCCATGGTTAGGAAATGCAGCCTGTCTACTGTTCTGACTCACACAAGGAAAGCCAGTGAGTTGTGACACCCATCAGATTGATCCTGGGTGCCGTGTTTTGAGGAGGAGGGTATTTCATGCTAATACCTTCCTTCCCAGTGTGAGGTGGAAGCCTTGGAGGAGATGCAACAGCAATCGATGGTGTTTGCCTGCTGCTGCTGGAGGGGATGGAGTGGGGGGGTGATTTCAGAGATGGATTTGGCAGAGATGAGTTGCTGCTCTTTGTGCCTGTGGTGATGGAGCTGTAATAACATATTGAACATGGCAACAGCCCTTGCTAAAGCTCTGTGACTTCACGTTCGTGCTTCGTGGAGCCTCATCTCTTAACAACACCCTTAGCATCGATAACAAGAGAGGAGCTGTCGAGTGCCAGAGGGCCTAGTTAAAATCACTCGCTGAAAACCTCCTTTCTTTTTGGACCCAAACTTGCTTTTTAAACAGAAAAACTCTTTGGCTGTGTTTTAGGCAGAGAACATTCAGAGGGTTTTTTGGCTCCGCAGCTTCGTGCTGCATGGGGGGGGCCGGGGGGCGATGGACGCTGGTGTGTGTCAGGAATGCTGGCTGTGCGCTCGGCAAGCGGAGAGGGGTTGTTTTAGGACAAGCTGACAGGCCCTTGGCTTGTTCTGCTGCTCTCGAAAAATGTAATTCTAATTCTTGGCACCTTTTTCCAGGAGGATAAAGAGCGAGAGCGCAGTGGAGCCTGTTCCCTCTGCCCTTGGAAATGGGCTTTTACCCAGCAGCAGAGCTGGCTCAGGGTGGGAGCGATGTGCTCTCTCCTACCCCCAGTTTGGTGGATCAAAAGCAGAAATTAGTGGGGGAGAAGTAGCATGGGGTGAAATGACCTGAACCACCTCCTCACAGTCTTGACCTCGATCTGGTTACTCTTTGGTCATCTCAGCTCTCTGACAGAGCATCTTCTTCTGCAGGTGCCAGCATTCTGCCCAGGTTCTGCTCGCCTTCATCCTGGCTGAGGGCTGGCAGTCCCTTTAACCCTGTACCTTTTCCTATGAGGAAACTGTTCTGTGGTACTCCATCCTCTGGCAGTGCCAGGCAGCAGAGGAGGAGATGGGCCATGGGTGTGGGGTTTCCCAGTCCTCTGCTGCAACCCAAGGGGTTCTCCCTGAGCTGCAGAGCCCACAGGACCCTGCTTCAGCACGTCTGCTAACCCCTGTATCCCCACCTCTGCCTGCACAGTAACACTTCCTTGGCTTGCCTTCAAGCAGCTGCTCTGGTCACTGCCCAAACAGAATCTGATTTCTTTCCTCCCTGTGCTGTTCCCTGAGGAGCAGCAGTGATCGTTTCTGCCTTCTGATCTCCACTTTGGATGCTGTCATTCCTGTGGCTGTTTAAGAAAGAACCATTGCCTGGTGCAGGTCAAGCCGTCCCACGTGGTTACGTGACCGAACCAAGCACAGGCTTTTATTTCAGGTTGGTTTTCAGGTCTGTGCTATTTTATCTTGTGCCAGCCATCTCAGGTATGATGTAGAGCACATTGCCTGTAGCAGTTAATGTGTTTCTGCCTCGGCAGCAGAGAGAGTGGCAGATGTAAACACAGGAATGTTACAGTCTTTCAAACACTAAAAACTCCCAAAGAATAGGTGGGTGTGTGTATATAAGTATATGCAGCGCATTATATTAATGGAGAGAGATTTGTAAATTCATGCATTCGTGAATGTTTCATGTGTATATACTTTTTTATAGGTTTTTAAGTAATTGATAAGCCCACATTTTTATATATATACACACACACACACATATATATGCTGCCTCGTGTACTTGTAAGCTGTGATTTTTCAAAGGCTTCTTCTAGCCTCGTTCAGTGATCCTGCCTTCAGCAGACACAAGGAGAAGGGCTCCAGTCTCAAGCAAAGCTAAATATTGATTTGAGTCAATCTGGGTGCACTTGGAGACATCACTAGTGTTCATGAATGCAGCATAATCGCTGATTGGAGAGGGGAAATTTCATCATAAAGGCCCCAAAAGGGAGGTTTATTATTGCTTTCTTCCAAATGCCTGAATTTTATTAGCTTCAGTCATTCTTGGCAGGGCAGTGGAATGGGATTTTATAGTTAGCAAAGGAAAAGTAAACACAGTAATCATTTCACAGCCCTGTGCCTGCCAAACCAAGATGGAAATTCCAGCCTTGGTGGGAAGCTGCTGCTTTACTAACAGATAATAACAAATTCACTGTGGGCTTATTCTTGCTATGAGAGTTGAGATGTTCAGGTTTTTCTGTAACACCCTGATCTGGGGAGGCAGAGGTGCTTCATGCTTTTCTGCAGGAACAGCCTGGGCAGAGGTTTGTGGTTCGAGTAACTCCCACAGCCATTCACAGGTAGAAATGGTGTTTCTGCTCTGAGCCTTTGGGAGCTGCTCTATCCCACGCTCTTGTCAGTATTTGGTTTTTCCTTGGTCAGTCTTGCTCTGGTTGCAGAGCTGAGCGATGCTCGAGGAGTGACACGTTTGGTCCCTGCACTCTTTGACCATCTCTACCTGCTGAATGGGGGGAGGGATATCATGGAAAAAAACATTCTCCATCTAAATCCAAAACTCTCATGAAAGGCTTGTTTTGCATGGTTTCCTGGGCTTGTTGAGGGCTTGGCTGCCAGCTCGGATCTGGACTCGCGCCCGCCTGTGTTTCCTGGTGCTGGGGGACGTTACTTCCTCCCACCTTCCTGCCCCGCCGGCGTGGGGGTGGTGGTGGGGATGGCCTGCCTGCCGCAGGATGCGGCCTCCTGATGGAAAAGCAGGCGGAGCAGTGAAGGAAATGGCTACTCAAACAAGCGGCGAATGTCGAGGCAGCCCCTTCCACGTGTCTGCACAATTATTAGAACAATAAACCACTGAGCGCAGCCGGCGGCGGGCTCTGATGGATGGTGCAGCTGACGGCTGCTGTGCACCACCCGTGCTCCCTGTCAGCACGGATCCTGCTGGGGTGGAGGGCCTTGACCCGTGCTACACCACCTCTTCCACGGCACTGAGATGGAAGTTGGTACAAGCAGCTGGGACCGTGTCCCACATCCCCGCCTGTGTGTGTCCCGAGGTGCTGCTTGTGGGGAGTTTGGGACGGTGGCCAGAGGATGTATTTTGTGTGGCCATGGGGGCTGTCAGGCTCCTGGTGGATTCCTTGGGCAGTGGAGGGGCAGGCAGAGCATTGTCCCTATCGTGTCCCCCGTAGTTTTTAGAGATGAGAGGTATTTGATGTCCAGCTTCATATACTTGAGAGCACAGCCAGGATGAATCTGTACATTAGGTGACCTGGAGCAAGGAAGTGGTGACATGCAGCTGGTGAGGGGAGCTCGATGAATTGCTGTAGGAGCAGGTGCTTCAGTTTTTTGAGCTGACACAGTTGGAAGAGGAGCTGCTGGGAGTGAGCAGGGTTTTGGTGCTGGGACTGTCACCCCATGCCCAATGTGCTGGGAGTCCCCAGCGTAGTTGTTGTCCCCAGGGGAGTTGTTGGTGATCCTGGCTTGGTGCATGGAAGAGGAGGTTTGGGTTCGTCCCACAGTGCACCTCAGCCACTGCTCAAACCATTTTATGTCTTGTTTGTGTTTCCTTTCTCCATCAGTCTGTCTCCTCCTTGGTGGGCAGCTTGACCCCCAGGATTTGGGTAAAATAATTTTTAGTGATGGTTATGAAGGGGGGGAGGAGTTGCCTTTAAGTGTATCTCACTTGTGGCAGTGGTTAAAAAGAACTGTCTTCAGTCATTCCCTTCCCTCTCCTAAATTTGATGCCCTTTCAAGCCAAATTCCCAATATTGATGCTGTGTGCCATCTTGATTAACTCCCAGACAAATCCCTGCTTCACAGGGCCGCCGAGTGCTGCCCTATGTGTATCCCGCTGGGATGTGCATGGCTGAGGAGTCCCTGCTCCTCCTCGGCCTCCTGCCTCCTCCCTGGCAATAGGAGGAAATTTAAATGTTTCTGAAGAGCAACATTTCCATTTCAAAAGCTGTTCGTTCAAGTGCGTCTGGAGTGGGATTTCTCTCCCCCACTCCTCTCTGAATGGGAGCTTTAGAAGTCTCATTTCCTCTGCTTGATAACACCAGGCTGAGAAGGGCTTTTGTCTTTTCATTTCCCCTCAATTTTTTATTTTTAAATCAGTGAGGTTTGGAGAAGCTGCTGTGGTGGATTTTCCCTCCCCCGTGTTTGTCCGTGTGCTGGAGGATGCACCTGGCATCACCCAGTGAATGAGCTGGAGCTTCCTGGGGAACAGCCCCAAGCTGAGCAGGCACCCACCTGGGAGCACCCTGCCAGTTGCTCCTGGAAGCAGAGGAGGAGGTTTGTTGGCATGCCCCTGCCACCCTGCCCTTCCCAGCTATCTGAGCAGGGGCTTACATGCCCCAGCACCTCTGGACAGTATTGGGTGTCTTGGTGCTGAGCCCGGCTTAGGATCTGGCCCCGTGTTTCGAACACATGACACTGCAGTGGCTTTAATCCTGCTGACTGGTTGCCTGCCTGCTTTTTGGCTGACATAGCTTTTCCAGTTAGTGTGAAATTATATATTTTTAATGGGATGCTCAGAGGAAGGCACATATAAGGGGATGCAGTTGCCTGGCTGCCACTTCTGCAGGACTGATGAGTGTGGATGCAGACGCTGTCCCAGGAGTGTGATGGCAGTTGTGCTGGTCACTGGAGTATTTCACTGCTATAAAAAGGGATATTTTTCTGCAGAAGCCTTTTTTACAAAACTCTGGCATGCTTTTCATGTGGCATCTAGGGCTGGAGGGCTTTCTACCTGCTTGAGGGCCAGCTGGGATTTGGCACAGACTATTCCAGCATCCTCTGTCAGAGGAAACATGCCTCCTGGGATTAACATAGACCTTGATGCTACATCCCTGCCTGGTTGATGTGCTGGAAAGACTTGGAATTTGCTTTGTTGCATGTGCCAGTTGGAAGAGGATGAGTGATATTGCCAAAAATAAAAAATTAAAATGTTGGGAAGCTAAAGCTTTCAAAGGCACAGAGTGAGTGTTCTATTCCCCTGAGCTTTGCTGGGTTGGCTGACAAGATGCTTTCCAGGTTGCTGGAGGAGGTTTAGGGATTGTGCCTGCACCCCCAGGCAGGGGACCCCTTCTGCCTCTCTGGGGTCTCCCTAAAGAAACTCCTTGAGCAGCAGGCACAGAGAGAAATACAAAACCAGGAGGGAGGGACAGTCACGTGAGGCCATGTCACCACATCCCATGTTCCCAAGTCCATGGTGATTATTCTGAGGTTCCTGTGAAGGCTGCCCAAA